CAATTGTTTACCCTCTTTTTTGTCCAGAAACTCAGATTAAGGTTGAATTAATACATGTATGTATATATATATATATATATATATATTTCAAAAAAACCCAAAAACATATTAATTCAAAACATATTATACAGTGCAATTTGGACAGCCTAACCCCAAAATATATAGTATATATATGTAAATAAATAACTATAAAAGTATAAATCGTAAATATTAAAAATATTTTTTCACAGTATATATAATATATAATAATATAATTAAGTCAAAAACTATTCAATATTGGACTCATTTCGAAGGTATTAGCGAGACGATTATAATGGTGTAACTTGTTAAAATAAAAATGTATTTTTTAAACATGTTTTTAATAGATATACGATTATTTATGTTAATTTGATAAAAGTTTAAAATGAAACATTTAAAAGTAAATGACGTAAAGTAAATTAATTAATTAATTATAGGGATATAAAATGTAAATTTAAAATTATAATTTTAAAAAAATTGGTTGTGAGAGGGTGAGTGTATGTGAGGAGAGAAGGGGGTGAAAAAGTGAGTATAAAGGGTATTTTGGTCATTTAGAATTTTAAGACTTTATGACTTTTACTAAATTTGCTTAATAAGATAGTATAAATATATAAAAACAAATTACAAATGATTATAAAAATAATTTTAAATTACATTTTTATTAAATGATTGTTACAAAACAAATATTTTTAACATATTTTAAAACATTATTATATACAAATCTTACAAAATCCCATTAAATACCAATCTCCTCGTGGGATTTCAAAATGTTATGTTTGTGGGATTTCAATTAAATCCCATGATTTCAAATATGAAAATCCGTCAAACTAAACATGGGATTAAAATGGAATTTAAATTCAAATCCTTTCAAATCCAATCCGGCAAACCAAACGAGACCTTATGAGCTATGGATTATCAAATCTTGTAATTCATATATTAGATCATTGAACACATAAAAAGTCAAAAATCACAAGCTAATCCTTTTTGCACTCATATATATATATATAGAGAGAGAGAGAGAGAAGTGTTCAAATAAAAACAAATCATAATTTTTCATTTTATTCATTTTTTTGTAATTATGRGAGGTTGATTAACCATTTTTATTGTGGAGAGTGTTAATCATGGATATTATCGTCTTCATTATTTTAATTTTATAGAAATACATAAAACAATTTCATTAAATATTATATGAAATAATTTCATAACCATATATGAAACAAATTCATCAAAAAAAAGTAACATATAAAACAATTTCACAAGATTAAACAATTTCATGAAAAAATTTCATAAGATTAAACAATGAAATCGACGTATGAGGGTGGTTTGTACGGTTTGTACAAATAAGAGTGGTTTTCATTTGATCGTTCTTCTCTCTCTTTCTCTCTCTCTCTCTCTCTCTCTCTCTCTATATATATATATATATATATATATATATATATATATATGGTTGAGTTCCGGTGAGAAGAAAAGTTACAGTGAAAAGTGTAAGGAGAAATCTCCATTCTTAAGTCAATCCTAATTATATGTCAAGTGCACCTGATCAATTCTCTTGTAAAACACAATTCATATGTGGGTATGAGATTAAAAGTGATCAATGGTTTAGATCTCTTCTCACCGTAACTTTCTTTCCCACACAATCATTCGCATATACATATACATGGTTGGGTTCACGTGAGACCAAAGGTTTTCGTGAGACTCGTAAGACCAATTTATGTTTATTGATCAACTTTATAAGCTAATGATCTAATGGTCTAAAGTTGTTCGGTTACAACTTTGTGATTATTGAGAAGTCTCGGTGACAATTTTGTGATTATAAATGTTCAGATTGTAGATCTAATCTAATAATTGATAATTAATTTTACAGGTCTTACGAAAAACCCTTAGTCTCACATGTCTACATACATATCTATATATATAACTTTTTTGAATTATAAAAATGATAAAGCATGATTCACGGGATGTATTATGAGACAAATGACAGAGACTAAGTATTAATTAATTTGATAAATTTTGGATAATGATGACAAAGGGTGGCATGTGGAATCTAATTAATATTTTAAGGGTACTTTCGTCATTTCCCTATAAATAAAATAGTCCTCCATATTTAATTTAAGGCAACAACTAACAAGCGTGATGTAATCCTTCCCATGTAACATCTTTTTCATTTTTAAATTCTTTTTTAATGATGATACTGAGTTCTTATCTGCAATTACTGACCGACTTGAAACCGACCCGTGGGGACAAATGGACTGTTACATTCAAACAGACCATCGATCTCACATATATATGGCTCGAAGTTAACGAGTTTTTAACAAGACGTGATTTTTGAGATTTTACCATTTCAGATATGGGAACGTGACTGAATACGTGTAGTTGATTTACAAATACGACGTAGGATTAAATATTTTTTGATATTAAATATTTAATAATAAATAGTAATTAAGAATTAAAAAATGATATTAAATATTTAGGCAGAAAAACTTAAAGACAAACAAGAGGGCCAATAAGTGTGCCTAATCCAATCCGTTGATATGGTTAGTGGGGAAAAAGGAAACACAAAATCCAAAAGTAATGGGGTCAATAATTGAAACAAAATATTTATTATTCCTAATATATAACCGATTATCATGTTGATATGACGAGTGATGTGGTATCCAATTCAGTATTATTTGCTGACGTGGTTCATGACATGAATTTTTTTAATCTAAAATTAGTCTTTTTTTTTAAATCTAAAATTAGTCTTCAACCGGTTACACGAGTACTTAAATGTTTAAAATTTTATATTTTATATACCAAAATGAAAGTTTTGAAAGTACGTTACCAGAATAGGAATCAAGTTAAAGTATGTTACTTTTTCATGCAATTTCTGCCTAAAGTAGAAGTTTTAAAAGTACGTTACCTAAAATAATGTATATATAATGTAATATATAAAATAGAATATATGGTAAAGTTAAACTTAATTTGTTTTTAAGGATTTTGAATTTTGGTTTTCCATTTTGAAAATACGCGGAAGACGCTATTAAGACAATTTTCTTAGATGTTGTTTATTTTGTAAAAGGTGTTGAAATCTTAAGTCTTATTACACTCAAAGATGGTGCTGAAACCTGAAAGTAGAATCAATAAAACTATTTATTTTTTCTTAAACAAGTAAATGTTTGAATTCGTGTAAGAGTTTTTTCCAGCAACTTCTTGAAGCCGATTCAAAATTGTTGCGGTTAATAAATCCACCACTTTATGCTTCCAAATTCAAACCGATTAAAAAAATTAATCTTGTATAAAAGTTTGTTTCAGATAATTATTGAAAACAACATAAAATTCTTTGAGAATTCTGTACTTGTATGTATAGCTTTCAGAGTGAAGAATTAAACTCGTGACAACCCACCTTTTCATTACCAAAAATAGTTGATATTGTGTCGTCAAAAATCATAGAAACTGACGAAAGATCAAATATGATAATGAAAGTATTAAGTAGACGACAGAGAAAAATAATTGAAATCAGGGACCATGATTCTTTTTGTAATTTATAGGATTCATTTGATGCAGTTATCTTTTTTTTTTTTATTAACCTGGATATTCAACCTGTTATGCGAGCCGGCTAACCCCAGGGCGACCACCTGCTTTGCAGATAGCCCGGAGTCACCGCCATTTGAACCTTCATGGCCACAAGGGAATTTTTATTCCTCCTTGGATTTGAACCTGGGACCTCCTATACTTTTGATCTTTGGAGCCAAGCTCAAACCAATCAGACACCACCCTTATGGTTTGATGCAATTATCTTTATCGCGATCTGGAGAACAATAAAAGGTGAGTTTACCTTTTATTCTTTTAGAGATAGGTAAGTGATAAGATGAAAAAACAAACAGTCTAAATTGATTAACCTCTTAGTAAATAAGCGATAAAGAAGCTATTAAGAGGATTTTTTCTAAAAGCAGTACATTCACTTTTTTAGCCATTTTCATAACCGAATTCTGATTTTAGTCAGAGTTTACGTAAATTGTCTTCACATTTGCGTAAAACCTATTTTCAGATTTAAAGAAAAAATTCTTCACCCATATTACGCAAGAAATGTATATATATATTTTTTAATTTGGAAATCAAGTTTACACGTTGGCTAACAGGAATTCAGTTGAAAAAATGGCTAAAAAGTGAATTTGTGAAGAGATTGACTATTTTGGTCAATTTGCCATCTAGCTTTAACGGAAACCTTCTTGTCACTCTTGTAGCCATCCTGCTTTTAGGGGTGTTTGGGATTGCTTATTTGAAACAACGTATACTTTTCTACAAAAGCACTTATCAACTTATTATAAGTCAGAAAGGTCTAACTTCTTCATAAACACCTTATTACCGGTTTGGCACCGGTTTAAATTGTTTATCCAAACACTCAAAAGTGCTTATTACCGGTGACACATCGGAATAAGTCAAAAAGTTATTTTTATAAACAATCTCAAACACCTCCTTATACCATGATTACATCCTTATTCCTTATCGACCTTATTCTCATTCTGAATCATTGGGCCTTGATACTTGAAACGATCATTTTGGGGTCCAAATACTCCCATATGTTAACTTCTACACCCTCCGATAATTGGTTTTCGGCCGACTTATCCACGAGCGTCGACTCTCCAACACTACCTTCCACTGTTCCAACCTAGCGTTCACCTCTCTCTTAGTTTTCACTACCAATACAATGTCATCAGCAAATAACATACACTATAGAAAACACCCTCGGATCCCTTGCGAAAACTCATCCAAAATCACGACAAGTAGAATTGGGCTTAGCACCAATCCCTACTATAACCCGAGCTCCCCCGGGAAGTACAATGTCTCACCCACTTATGTCCTGATACAAGTAATTGGTCACTCGATATTTTGGAACGTAAGGTTATAAAATGAATCGTTACATTTCATAATCATGTTTGGTTGACATGTAAGAATAAAATAAGTTGAATACAATGTTTGACTTCATTAAGTGAATGCCTCATTCCATTCCATCCCTCATTTTATCCCACCAAACACTACATCAACTACGTAAATTAACCAAAACAAACCAAACAAACCCAGTATATCCACCTCCAGAGTCAGAGTGAGATGTATGCATACACATAAATTGACCAACAATTACAATATTCCATTACTAAACAAAGCAGAACAAACGACTGCACTTAGACTTTTCAAACTATAAACTTCATACCTTTAGAGTCAAGTTGGATTTTTGTTGGCTACAACACATGAATGGAATTGACCATGCCCATTCCATCTAATTCCAGCGAACCAAACGGCAGCTAACTTTTAATTTCGCCATAAATACCGAATAGTATACAGTATATAACCAACGGCTCCAAATCCAACAGTCTTTTTGGAAAAATCTTGAAGAATACTACAAGGATCCGAGAAAAACATACCATAATCTTTTAACTACCACATATTTAGCGCAAGAACTATGAACGCTAATGCCTTCATTTATTTGGTTTTAGGATTTAGATTTAATATTGCAGTCTGCACTCAATATCCACATATCACATGTACTTCAAGAATCTCCAAGAACAAAGAATTAGAAATATTTACTTGTGATATGAGTAGTCCCTTGGCTGAATCAAGATCCAAGAGTAGGGTGAACTCATGGCCCTCCAGCCAGCAAACCTTCCAAAAAGGATCCATGCAGCCATGAGTGAACCAGAAACACTGACCAGTGACCTGCAAAATGGAAAACCAAGAGGGTTAGGTGAAGATGAGATTGTGCAACAAAGAAAGGTTTGAAGAGAGGTAATTACCTGCGCGTATCTAAAATGAGCAAAGATCGTTATTACCAAGCCTCTTGTATTTACAGGTGTAGGCTAAAACGGAAATTGTTGCAATTTTTCACGAAACAAAAGGGGTAATCGACATCATCTCAAGAATGCTAAAACTGTCGATATCAAAGTAATAAGCAATAAATTAACCAATGATAGCTGTTTAAAGAATGCTGCTAATCGGTAAAACTCAAACAAAGTCAACTATATCAGTTCTATAAACACAAGAATATAAGGTTCATCGGCACACGCGATAAAAAGATGAGTAAGCTATAGATATTAACCGAAGAAAACCACTAATCTTACACAGTATCTGTATCCTTATGCTTCACCAGTCAGCATCACCATCTCAGAGAAATCAGCATTTAGAAGTATATACAACCTAATCAATCTACACCCAAAACTATTTCTGTTTGCATGCATGGCTTTGTCGTCATTGCTTTTTGTATCTAACAACACAATACTTAGACATGAACTCAAAATCTTTGTCAAATGTTAACAATACTTGTGCTGTAGATGTGAAAATTCTCCAAGAATCTTGGGATTGATCTGTGTTGCCACCCGGAAATCTAACATTGATGTTGAGTACGATGTGCCTGCCCTTTGTGAAGACCTTGAGCGAGCTAACTCCAAGCTTGGCTTTATAACCATCTTTAAAAAAGAATCCAACCCATTATTCAATAAGTTAACACAATCATTAGAGATATCCAAGCTCTCCGTTTTCAGATTGTGCTTCAGCCTGTTCTTTAAAGAGTTTGTGGCTGGCAATCGACCATTGTAATGGCAAGTCTCAGTGTAGTATGCAGAATCTGAACCACTACAGAGCACTTTTCGTGTTTCTTTTGAGTGTATACTGATGCCAAGTGGAGCCCTAACTGGGCTTCTACTATGAACACCAGGACTTATTACACCCTGCTCAACTTCTTCCCCATCTTCCACAGAATTAACTTCAACAGGTGGCTTGCTGCCTAAAGAAAGCAGCTCAGTAGCACTTTGTTGTTCTTGAATCTTTGTTGCTGCCAAATCTTCAGAGGTTCGAGTCTTTTCATGAAGGCCAATAGGACTAGCCCGATCCTTAAACTTTCTTTCACGAAGATTTGGGGTTCTTCCTTTTCTAGGGGACCGAGGAAATGCATCTCTGCATAGAGACTGAAGGCCGGTTCTTGGATTGGTCCCATTTGGGAGTTTTAAAGTCACAGGACCATCACTTTTGACATGCTTTTGAGGGGGTATCTTGGAAACAGTGGCATTTTTCACAATAGCCATGATAAGTTCATTATGAAGGTGAATATTCTCTCGCCCTATCAAACCGAAGCAAAGCTTGTTAAATTCTGATTTTCTGAGGTTAAGACTCAAATACCTTGTGAGCAGATTGAAGTACTTCTCAGCCTTTTGTGAACCAAGACTCTTTTCAATCTGAACTTTCAGATCAAAAGTATCGATTCTGGAAAAACGCCGAACTGCCGGCATTTTGTTGTTGGTTTCAATATCTCAGAATCATCAAAACATCTTCAACCATTTAAAAGAAAGACAATGATCTCCAAAAGAACTCACACTCCACATCACTAAATAAACCCCCAAATTCCAGATAACCCTAACCTCCTCTTTGACTCGTGAATCGAAGTCAAACTTCACTTGTTGTCGCAAAGCTGAGTTATCGATTTCTGCAGCAAACAAAAATAGAATGAACAAACCCTAGATTACAAAACAAAAAAAAAATCAACTCAAACAGAACTTCCTGTTACTTCATTCCATCAAATCAAGTAATCAACCATCGATCAACACCATAACGAGGCTCAAAAAGTAAAGAATTCGATAACAGCAAGTAAATCCATAACCCTTTGTAATCGTAAGTCGACCGAGTAAGGCGAATTGAACATAGAAATCGAACAACGAAACGGAGATAAATGTGGAACAAAGAGAAGAGAGTAAGGTAAACCTGATTGATGGATGTGGAGGAGTTGAATTGAAGAGAAATCGAGTAGATCGGTGGAACGATTAGGGTTCGTAATCGGAATCTTTTTGGTTCGATGGAATCGTGGGGGGGTCAAAGTCACGTGCGGTTGTTTCACAAGGGGGGTATTTGATTGGGGGCGAAGTGAGGTCTTGTTTGGCTGCCGTCAAACAACTACCAATCATCCCAAGTCAACGGATCCCCTCTCCCCTTCTTTCTTATGTTTGGTTTTGTTCAATAGACATTCTTTCTCAAATCAAATCAAATCTAAAGAGTTCACTTTTTATTTAATTATTTTATTAAATATTTTATTTTTATTTTGACGATTGCAAGATTAATCGTAAGATTGATCGGTTAAGCGGTAAGAACAGTTATCGGATAAGATTTTCGATCATTAAAGTAATATAGTAAACATCTCTTACCTGACAATAGGCAACAAGTGTTCGGTACCGTTGTAAGAGACGGCAACCTACATTTTCTTTTACATTTGTTGTATAGAACACATTTTCCGTAAGTCCCGAGTCTTCATAAAAACAATCGTTCAACCATTTGAGGTAAGTGGTAGATTTGCATACATCTTATTCCGAACCCAACCTTCGTGTGGGATTTCATAGGTACTTCTGTTAAGGTCTTATGCATCTTGTAGGAATTAAACATGTGAATGTATCGATTATGATTCATGAGTTGGTGCTGAAACCATTCAGTTATAGATGTTACTAGATCATAGACAAGAATCCAATTTAAGGTTTCTATCAACAAATGAAAATAAAACCAAACTTTGTGTTATCAAGATAAAACAGACGAACCACTTGGGTTGTGGTGTACTGGTTAAGGTTTGGTTCGAATCCAAACCTTGTGGTTATTGAGGTTCACCTGCGATGACTCAAGACCATTAATTGCCGACAGGGGGTTAGTCGGTGCGCGTAAGTTGGCCCGAAACCCACGGTTACAACTTTTTTTAGATAAAATGAATGAATTAACTACAAAAATCAAGACATGAAACGTCTCAACCACCAATAGTAGTTGCAAAAACTAGCATTCAAGTCACACCGGATTCCTTGCTCAAAGTCGATATGAGTCCTTCATCCTTGTCGCCAATGGTTGCGAGGGTGGTGAAGGGTTCTCAACATAGATCTCAATCACATATAGAGCCATAACTATATTTTTCGCATGGATGATGTTTAGTTTGCAACTAATATTAGCAGTACGACACCAAATGGTCATTGGCACAACGGTATCTATGTTACTAGTAAAGTCCAGCCTTCCAAAAGGTTAATAGTTCAACCCTCGGTATGACCTCCGCCATAAATAACTACGGTCCTGGATTTAGTTGCAAACCAAACACCATTCATCTATAACGTTACAACTATGGTTTGCAAAAACGAGCGCTTTGGACAAATTGTGAAAGTGTAGATGCCAAAAGAACAAAGCACTATATTCGACACATTTTATCCAAAATCGCTCGTTCTAGCAAACCGTTGTCTTCTTTATTGCATTTTTGTAACGAAAAATCAAATACGATGATTTAATTGTCAATAACTCACTGAGAAGCAGGACAATAAAGAAAGAAAAAGAGGTCATATTAGCAGCAATTGCAAATCTACCAACTTTCAGAACTCTTTTAATCACTCGACCAAAATAAGATATCTTATGGACATCAACATGTAACAGTTTCGCATTTTAGATAAAATTCTCTCGTTGTTCCAAGACTCGTAACTAATGAGACTATAAGGCGAGTATAGGCCATAGCTGCGGGAAACTTAGCTCAGTAATAAATAGACAGTGTACGATGATGTTGAAGAGAAGGGTTTGAAACGCCGAATGCCCACAACCAAAGATCCAATTCTACACTCAACACCTGAAACAACAAATCATAGATCAAAAGTTAGAAGTTTTATAAACATGTTCTCAGACTAGCAGGTTATACGTCTTTTTGTTTTTATAAGACATTTTTTCAAATTATGTCATACAAAATACTGATAGAACGTTTTATTTCAAAAGTGTCCTAAAAAAAACTTGTTAGTATGTCCAAAAAGCACAAACAGCAGAATGAAAAATGGTCGTATAACCTGTTTCCCAGTTCTTTTACAGATCAAATCCCTCATTTTTTCCACCGCATATATGGAGCAAGCTCGTAACTCAACTTCCTCTTCACTGCCTGAACCAATTTCCTTATTAGCCTCAATTCTGTTGGCTAAGGTTAAACTATATCTCAATACTCCAAGCTGCTGAAGCACGGCTGGAACAATATAGTCTGCAAATATAGTGATGGAACCTATGTCACTGAATTCTCCGTATCTTTGACCCTTGAATGCACCCCATAAATCAGCAGCAAATATCTGAGCTCTTTTATACAAGAACACCTGGCGACCTTTGTACACTGTGTGGTCTCGGAAACCTACAGCATTTTCAATAATTTGTATTTTAACATCTTTTTCATTGTTATTTAATAGATGCAGCTAGTTGATCGAATGTTAGAAGATGAAAACTGAAGGCGCCAAAAGGGGTAGAAAATACCAGGAAAATGACGTGCAATAATGGCAACAAGCTTTACAGCTGATTTTTCACAAGACTCCACAATGTTGGACGCCTTTCCCCCAAAGCTTCTCTCCAACTCAAAGCCAACCTAAGTCATAAGTTTAGTTATTTATTACAGAGCATATATACATATACAAAGAAAGGTTCAAGAGAGAACCCACAAAAATAACCGTCGGATCTAAAAAGTAGATGGCTCATATTATTCACGACCGTCAAATTAAAATAGATAGACGCCCCGGATGGGTTCCCTTGTTCGCCTCTTTTAGTGTTCTCTCTTGAACCCACCTCTACATATATGCATGTATATATATACATACACACACAACTAGTTCAGGACAGTTTCTTATAACTAAAATTTTGGAAATGTGATGAAATTATACCAACACCAAAAACATACCTCGTGCATCAAGCGAACCCGTTCATCCTCCAAAGGAAGCGGTCTTGGCCATTTCAACAGTTCACGCAACTCAGGGCCTGACAATAACCATAAGGTTAATCAATCAGTATTACCATTCTTGAAGACGATAACCATTTGTTCCATTTAACCGTGTTTGGTGATGCCAATTCTACCCACAAGCATTACTGAAGTATGAAGCACAAGAACTTCACAGCATCCTGTAAATGATTGGCCAAATCTGATACCCACATCCTTTTCTATCTAAACCTATGTTTTTCATTCTTGTTTTATTAAAAAATGGTATACTTGGGTAGCTTAATGAGAGTAGCATTAATACCATTAGTCAATATAAGAATTAAGCAAGAAGGGACAATCTTCATCTACAACATAAGCACCAGCTCAAGTTTCAGAAAGAAATAAGTGAAGACTCAAGTGAACTACCAGTATACTTCTGAAGTCGATCAGCATCAAACACAGATGGGTCGTTTTGAAGAGCTGCTTTCAATCCTGAAGCCAAATCATCATAGTTTAACTCCTTGTCTGTTATCATTGAGCAACCAAGAAAAATGTTAAGAGACAGGAATTTAAAAAATGTACAATCAACTTGAGTTAAGTATCTCTCTGATGCTGAACATAAGTCAATTAAGGGAAGTGTGTTGAACAAAGAATTACAATAGCTTTCTTACTGATGCTAATAAATTAACTTCATGATATCAAAACTTAAAGCAAATACAAGCTAGGGGCTGTGTGGTAGGTTTTTCATTAAGTTGTATATCGATAAAGTTGTCTGTGGGGATTAATCTGTCTGTATAGGTTGAGAAGGTTTTTGTTTGAAAGGGTTTTTTAACAGATGAAAGGAACATGCATTTTTAATTGGGAGAGGCAGGTTTGGAAAAAACTTAGCTTTTTGCATAAACTCCCCCCTAGAAGCTTACTGAAGAAGCTATTTTCTATATTATTAAGTCACTACCAAACAGTCATTTATAGCCGACCGAATAAGTTGTGAGTCCATTAAGCTCATTAAGCTGCTAGCAAACAGGCCCTTACTCATCTGTATCACGGCTATAATCTACAGTACTTCCTTAGGTCTATGATCTATCATTTACCAAAAATCACGGAATGAGTGAAAGACCACAAGGTGAAGCATTACAACTTTCAAGCAATTGATGGGGTAACGTTTGAACAGATTCTTGACAGACGCACAGCTAATATGGGACTCATGGAAAAAGTTCTCATGCAATGCTCATGCCAACAAGTCCCTCCTTCAACAACTGAGAAGAGACTTTGAGATATAGGAGATGCAGAGCAGTGACACATCACAGGATATTTTGCAAGATTTATGGCAATAACCAACCAAAGGAGAAGGAATGGAGAGGAGATACCTAATTGGCGTGTGATGAATAAGATTTTTACGAACAGTCAAAGATGATTTCACATATATGATACATTGTGATGTCCATAGAAGAGGCCAAAGATATTGAAACTTTCTCGATTGTGAGTCAAGCCCTCAAAGTGAGTCAAGAGGAGAGAACAGATGAAAAGGATGGTGATTGCTATGGCTGCTCAAAAATCACAATGGCTGGAAGATCTTCCAGCTTGATGTCAAAGCAGCATTTTTGCATGGAACTTTAATAGAAAATGTTTACATTGAACAACCAAAGGGTTATGAAATCAAGGGAAGTGAGCAAAAAGTCTACAAGCTTAACAAAGCCTTTATATGGATTGAAACAAGAACCAAGGGATTGGTTTAGTTGTATTCAAACTTATTTTCATCAGTGAAGGTGTTCAGAAGAGCCCGAATGAACAAATGCTGTTTTTCAAAAAGGCAGTGGAAGTAAAGTTCTTATTCTCGGTGTTTCTATGGCCATGATCTCATTTACACTAGTAATGATCCTTTAATATTTCAAGAGTTTGAGTATTCAATGCAAAAGAAGCTTGATATGTCTGGTCTTGGAAATTTGAGGTTTTTCCTTGGCATAGAGTGGCATTCATGTTTCACAGTATAAATATGCAATAGAGGTTCTGAGACGTTTCGGGGTGGAGGACAGCAATCCAGGATGTAAATTGACAGAGATGAAGACATAGAAAGAGTAGATGAGACAGTTTACAAACAAATGATTGGAAGTCTAATGTACATAACCACCACGCCACCAGATCTGCAGTGTGTTTACATGTCTGGATGGCTGGGCCTACCAAGATACACCTCCAAGCTGACAAGAGAGTGCTAAAGTACTTGAAAACTCTGGGCAACGGCATGTGGTACAAACAAAGAGGAATTGGAGAAACGCGAGTGTACATAGACAGTGATCAAACATGAGATATTAATGGAAGGAAGAGTACTTCTTGTTCATGCATTTTCAAAGGGTGACAGAGCAGTAGCTAGGTCTTCAAAAGAAACAAGCAGTCGTTACTCTTTCAACAACAGAATCAGAATATATAGCAGCTGTAGCTTATGCCTCACAAGCTGTCTGGACGAGAAGTGTGCTAGAAGAGCTAGGTTACACACAAGAATAAAGCACGACATATTGTGTGTGCATCCCATCTGATTGCTGTAAAACGCATCTTGAGATATCTAAAGGGAACTCCTAACGTAGGTCTTTGGTATCTCAAGGGTTCAGGTTGTGTTTCACATGAAGTGACAGCACATCCATGTGTATAATCATTCTTTATGTGACTTAGTGGAAGATGGAGTGATGAAGTTGGAGTACTATGGCTCACAAGAACAAGTCTTTGACATTTTTTACATAACATCTGAAGCGTGATACTTTTCAGAAACTTCTAACACAGCTAAGACTCTGCTCTCCATCAAGTAAACTAGCTGATGGAACTCAGGTTCATTCCATGAATTCCAGGTTTAGGTTTACCAAGTCCTGTGCTTGCTTAGTAGTTTGTTAAATAAAGTCCTAGTCTATAGGACTCATTTAAAACACATAATAGGAGATTGTTAGCAATTCTGTTTCTCTATAAGGCTTACATAACCAAATGTTCTTGAATTAGATAAGAATCAATTTTCAAATTGATAAGGATTATGATGCAAATTTTAAACCATCCAGTTTCTATTTGTCGTTCTTGCTATAAAATCTAATTTAGTAGTCACTTTTTTTCTCAAAATGTTGAAAATGCACAACCTACTTAAAGCTTAAAAGTAGCCCATTGGATCCCAATTCCCAAATCTTCAACTTCAATTGAAACCTGATACAATATAATGCACTTTCAGAATGTGAATGTTACCTGGCCAAAAGCAGAAATTCAAAGCATCCAGAACAAACAAGTATTGAACTGTTAAAGGACCATTATCAAAGTAATGAATCCCTTCATAATTCCATTCCACTTTCGGAATGGAATTCTCAACACTTTCCACCACTTTCTCAATGCCTGCAAATCAAAATACAAAAATCACTTTCAAAATCACGTGAACGCATGCAAAACCTTATACGAACAGCTCCAATGCTTCCATATGAGCAAACCACATGTGCCTTTCTACAGTAGCATTTCAAAGGAAAAAAGCATTTCAAAAGACGATTATCCTACCTTCCGAATCGACGGTGACGTGAGAAGAATGAGAAGCGACCCAAGCGGAGCTAGCCCTAACTTCTTCCATGGCGGCGGCGGAGGGAATGAAAACTCTCCACAATCACCTGTTATCGGTTTTTATATATAGTAACGATAATGTGTACGTGGTTTTCATTGTTGGAGGTTTCGCGCTTTCTGTTCGTTTGGGTCACGGCTCCCACGTGCAAAACCGGCCACCGTTCGATATGGAAAGTCACGTGTTCTTTTATATTTCTAACGGTCCATTGAATCATGAATCGCGGTAACTTTTGGACTTTGATTGATTTTGACTTTTTTAAACGTTGACTATATGACCGTCCTTTTCAACATTTTTTTCATTTGTTGATAAAATCATGAGATTTTAGATATGGAATGAAAATAATCGTATGTGACGGAAACCCGATATTTAATTTCGTTTGATTGGGCAATTCTCGACTTGGATCAGGACGGAGACGAGAATGGAAGTCTCTAAATTTGTTAATCGGGGACCGAGAATAGGAATATTCAATTTTGTTAATTGGAGATAGGCTTAGGGATGGGAATATCCTTCGATCCCGACCCCGAGTATTCAATAATAAGTTTTTTGTGTATAGTATATATATATATATATAGGGTTCGGTTCTGGTGAAAATGATAGTTAAAATTAGAAGTGTAAGAAGTAATATCTACCCTTAGATACATATTAGTATGAAATGCACCAGATCAATCTCTTATCAAGCACGATTCATGTGTGAGTTTGAGATTAAAGGTGATCAAGGGCCAGCTAGTGCTCTCCATTCCAATCATGGGACATGTTCGATTGTTTAGGTGGATGTGTGTTTTTGGGCGATTAATATCACGCTGGTAGGTGTATCTTTTATTTTCGTCAATCAATTATTAGAGGTATCGTCCTCTTTCCAAAAAAATAATTTGAAATTATTATGTTACTTTAAATATAATTTTATATGATTGTGTCGATATCATAAATGGAGAAAATTAAATTAAAAATATTTGGAAATGATTATGCAGATATAAAGAGATTGACAAACAATCCTTGGAAAGATAACAAATTAAGAGATAATCATTTGAGTAAATTGCATGAAAAAATAATTTACTTTAACTTGATTCATATTTTGGGTATAATATTTTTAAAACTTTCATTTTGTTACATAAGATGTAAAATTTTAAACATTTAAGTACTCGAATAACCGGTTGAAGACTAATTTTAAATTTAAAAAAAGATTGATTTTAAATTTTAAAAAAAATCCATGTCACTAACAAATAATACTGAGTTGAATAACGCATCACTCGTCACATCAGCATGATAACCGGTTAATACTTCAACCAGTTACCCGAATACTTAAATGTTTAAAACTTTACATCTTAGGTACCAAAATAGAACTTTTAAAAATACGTTACTCAAAATAAAAATCAAGTTAAAAGACGTTACTTTTTCATACAATTTACCTTAATCATTTCTATATTAAATCTCTATATGGTAAGCCTCAACACCATTTCTAATGGGAGACTAAATACTAAACTTCACATTAAATCATTTAAACATGCATATAAAATTTGGTGTAATAAATAATAACATATTAAATTTGGTGTAATAAATAATAACATAGAAAATTTGGTGTAGACATTATTTTTTTTACACCAATGGGATAAATAAATAAAAAATACGTGTAAAAAAATATATTTACGATCTTATATTTTGATGTAAGATTTAGGGGTCGTTTACCTAAACACTTACTAGGTAAGCACTTACCCGTAAAATTCAACATTATCGCTTACTTATCAAGTAAGATTCTATTCACTAAAACAAATCGTGTGCAACAATTTATCCCGATAAACGCTAACTATGGTAAGAGTCTTCGTTCTCACTTACAGGGGAAAGCTCTCGATTCTTGCCTTCGCTTTTACCGGGTAAGATTTTTATTCATTGTCATATCCATCCAGTAAAGTAAAGTGACTTGGTAAGCATTTATCCGGATAAGTGTTTGGTAAACGGCACCTTAATGTTACCTATTGAAGAAAATTTATTATTTACACTAAATTTTATACTGCTGACTATGGATTTAATGTCGGATTTGGTGGTTACCAATTGAATATGGCCTGTAGGGACATAATAGAAAAACCAATAAATCGAATCAGACTATACATGTCTTGTTCAGAAATATATATATGGATACGAGAATTATATTGTTCAATTCTGTTTGATTGGTCCCAAATTAGACAGTGTGACCAGATCATCTGTCCTTAAGCGATTCAAATCTATTTGAGACGGATCAGTGTCAGATGTAGCTTTTTATGACAAGATAAAGCTTCGATTAGATAAAAAAATTGATTAAGTATATCAACATACCATACCAATAGCGAGCGAGTCCAAGAGAGTTCCAGTTAGATCGGTTGTTAATGATTAAGTTGTGCATCTCCATTCCCTCGTTTGTTCGTGTTGTGGTAACGAGCTTGAAACCACTGGCTATTGTTTCATCAACTGTTTGTTGTCCTCTCAACTATGGAAGACTGTATTTAGTTAGTGGGTGTGGTGTCTTATGTCATCGATCTCGGTTGAGGAGTTGATTGATTGTGTGGACTCTCACGCTATTCCGTATTCTAGGCGGATTATCTGGAAGACGGTGATTTGGACCAATCTTTATTCGATTTGGAGCTATCGCAACAATCAAACATTTTCGTGTGCCACAATTCAACAAGTGAATCGAATTTCGCTCTTCAACTTCTTTCCTTCTAATGGATGTCAAAACGTGCAAAAAACTTCCAACATATCGTGGACGAAATGGTACGGGGGTCAAGAGTTGGATGACTAGTTTCTAGTTGGGTTCTTTGTTTGTAGGGCTGTGTTCTCTTTGTATTTCCGTTTGTCTCGTTGACCCGATTATGTGTATTCCCGTTTGTCTCGTTTTTGTTAACATTTGTTGGTCTTTTTATCACTTATAGAAGACTTGAGATCATGTGAGACAAAAGGGTTTTCGTGAGACCCGTGAGACCAATTATCAACCCTTGTATTAGATCTACAATCTGAACATTCATAATTATAAAATTGCCACGATATTTCTCAATAATCACAAAATTGCCACCATGCAACTTTAGACAATTAGCTTATAAAGTTGATCAATAAACATAAATTGATCTTACGAATCTCACGAAAATCCATTGATTTCACGTGAACCCAACCTCTTATATAGAAGGTATAACCATCTTTTCCTCTTGTTTTTATTGTTTAATATATTACTTTGTTTTTTAAAAAATAAATTAAATTGTTAAAAAATTTGAAAAATGTTTTTTCTTGATAAAAAAATAAATAAAAAACAAAAATCTGAAAAGGCGGAAATAAACAGGATTGCCATCTCGATCCTCCTGTCCACGGTTGTCGTTGATAATACTTGTAGCCCTTTGATGGCCGTAAGGCCTCCTCTGCAATTCACCGCCTCCTCCTCCTCCTCCTCCTCCGTCACCGGTATCCAATTCCCATTCTACTCCTCCGCCATTTCTCCATTCTCCACCGCACTCCTCCGTTGTTTCGCTTCCGCCGCCACTCGTGTCGCTGGTGGTCCACCGCAGCAACACCACTCCGGCAAGCAAAAACAGAAACGTAATAATAGACATAGGTATTCTCATCAACAAACCCTAAATCAGCCGCTTATTTCATCATCATATCCATTGTATTGCCTCCGGCCTACGTCATCTCTGAAAGAAACACTGGCGCAGAAGATCGGTAAAGCTTTCCGCCATCCCGGCGCACCGTCAAAGGCAAGGGTTTATACCGACGTCAATGTTACTCGGCCTAAGGAGTATTGGGATTATGAGTCGCTTACTGTTCAATGGGGGTTAGACCTCTATCTTGCCATCTATTGGTTACTTTTGAGTATTGTCTTTTGTTTTTGTTAAATCTAATTTTGATCATCTTACAGGGAACAAGACGATTATGAGGTGTCGAGAAAGGTTGGAAGAGGAAAATATAGCGAGGTTTTTGAGGGATTTCATATTACAAATGACGAAAAATGCATCATCAAGATCCTTAAACCCGTTAAAAAGAAGAAGGTTAGACCCTTTTCTCGCCTCTATTCCCAAGTTTATTGTTGATATAGAAAGTGACTTATCCTTCCAGCGGGAGCTTCACGCGAGAGAAAAGTTTTTCCAATCAAAAAGAAGAACTCTCCCAAACAAAACCCTGACAGATTAGTTAAAACAGACAGCTTTATCCATACAGGAACTTGATAGAAAACCAGCCAAACAACCTATAGTGATGTTAGATCCCAACTCCCAAGTCGACTAGACTGAACTATTTGCTATCAGAGCCAAAACCTCTCACTCTAGAGACTAGACGCACTGAGGCAGTATGGACACGTCTTGCCCTTCACCTGTCTCACTGTCTGCCCCCTCTCGAAACTCTAGGACAATTGCTGCCTGTGTTAGAGTCGTGCATCGGCTAGACTTCAACTGTTTTTTCTCAATATATGTTGGAAGCTCCTCTCTCTCTCTTTAAGGACTTTTGGAGAATATATCTCATATATTATCATAGCCAAGGTCTACCACTGCAGGGACTAGCCATATGAGGCAATATGTACCTTTCTTTCCTTTCACCCGTCTAGACCTCTCTTGACACTTTACTAGTTGCTTGCAATTCTTCTTAACACCGTCATTAGTATCTTTCTGGCTCACTAACTAGAAGTATTCATATGAAGAAATGTTCATCACGTGGGTGAACTTTGTAGGATGAGAGTCATATTATTACTCTGTTCAGTCTTGCCATTTGGAAGCTTGTTACCGTTTTAAAATTTTAAGTTCAGTGACTGAATCAAGAGAGCAAATACCACATATCTGCAGCAATGCTGTTGGAACATGCCATGCTAACTCAATCCTAGTTCAATTTCGATGCTCTAGCTTTTTCATTTCGAGAGTTCTAGGTCAAAATTATCTTGGGATTCACAAGCATTTATGGAATGAGTGATGACCATTTGAGTCCCTAGGGGAAAGAAGAAATATAACTCTTTGTTTCCAGTAAGAGGTGTAACATCCTAGGCTAATCGTATTAGATATTGTCCGCTTTGTCCATACACCTGGACTCACAGTTTTAAAACGCATCTGATAGAGGAGGTATCCAGTTCCTTATAGGGGAACTAACCAACCGATGTGGGATCTTACAAGAGATTTGTAGAAAAATAATACAAAAGTAAGAGAAAATATTATGGATTTGATAGAATGTTGACAGGGTGGTTGAGGCTTGTGTTGGACATAGTTCCCTTAAGAAATAGATTCATTGCCGCACATCTGTTTCCCTGGGTACATAGCTAATGGCCAAAGCAATATGAACTGTCGGATTTCACACTTGATAGCACATCTACTTCAACCATTGAGGGGGAGGAGAAGAGGAGAGTATCAGAACACCCTATTATATAGATTCATTTGGGTGGGTGTTGTAGAAGCAAGAATTAAACTTTACATGGAAAGCCAACAATCACTTAAAATTTTAGAACAAAGCAAAATGAGGTTTTAACATTTTGTTCGGTCCGACAGAACATTCGTGTCTATGCACACAAGTTCAGTGGTCCGGACCTCATATAGGATCATGATTAAAACCCCTGCGCTCGCACGTGAGGGAGAGTTTTTGCCTTACCCGTTTACATGAGTGAAGGAATATAAACATGAAACAGACTTTTAGTTGGATTCCCTACCTATGTGGGACAAGTTCTTTTTTTCCACAAAGTCACCTTTGTGTTTTACCCCAAATGCTCCAATTTGAGATTCGATTTCTCATACACCTGACTTCCATTTTGGACAAACTTTACGTTGTTGCGTAGTTCTCACCAAGGAGACCACAACCTAATAAATTACTTAATGGAAAACTCATAAATACAGATTAATACTTTTGTCAAAAAATGGGCGGGGGAAACACACTTTTTCATTCCTTGCACCAAATTACAATCAAAATGCAAAACAATTAACTTTGGAATTTATCCATCATCTAATGCTTTCTAGTAAAGTAGTAATTACTAATTAGCTAGTTTACTATAATCAACTAGGAAGCTCTTTTATGACTTTCTTTTTCTCATTTTCCATATGCATCGTCATACCCACATTAGCAAAAACAAGTTAATAGGACTTCAGATGTGTTGATAGTTGTCACAGGGGAAAAATTACACCTGTGGTTTAGAATTTTAGATCATTTGAATTGCCTTTTAACATTGAACACTTTGCAAACATACATCATGTCGCATCACACCTTTCTCTTTCCATGTTGCATTATTGAACCAACATACATCTTGTTTATTCAGTTTTTTAATGCAGATCAAGAGGGAGATCAAAATCCTACAAAACCTTTGTGGCGGGCCAAATATTGTGAAGTTGCTAGATATTGTTAGAGATCAGCAATCAAAGACACCAAGTCTAGTATTTGAATATGTGAATAACACAGATTTCAAAGTGCTCTATCCAACACTTACTGATTATGATATCCGCTATTACATCTACGAGCTTCTAAAGGCAATTATCCCACATCACTTACTTTTTTGGTCTCTTAGGCAACTTATTTAGACAACACAATGTTTAGGAAACAAATAAATTTAAGCCCATTGAAGAAACCGAGCAACTATAGAGACACAATCAATCAACATAGAGGCAAAGAACAATTAGATGGCTCAATGACCAAATTAGTGAGAACTTTGACTAAATTTTCAAATGAACATTTGTAGATCAAGACTATAGCATGTCGAGAAGCCTTTATTATAAAAAGACAGGCATTGTCACATACGCAATTCACTCATGCAAGAGACATATGCATTAAATATTTCCAATAGAGTTACTTAGGACATAGATGAACCCTATTGGTAATATTTGCTACATTTGTCTCTTGTATGAGTGAATTGTGTAACCAATAATGTTCATCTTCTTATGATAACATCTTCTCGACAGCGACGGTTTTGATTTACAGATGCTGATTTGAAAATTTAGTCGTAGTTCTCAATAATTTGGTCATCGAGTCATCTAATTATTCTTTGCCTCTATGGTGATTGATTGTCCCTCTATGGTTGAGCGGTTTTCTTGATGGGCTTCAGTTTATTTGTATTTTGAACTTCTTGTTGTCTAAATAAGTTGCCTAGGTAATCTAGATATTAAAAGTACACTTTTCCAATATAAAATCGTGTTGGTTCTTTTGAAGGCATTAGACTTTTGTCACTCTCAAGGAATCATGCATCGCGATGTGAAGCCCCACAATGTGATGATTGATCATAGTCAGCGCAAACTTCGTCTTATAGATTGGGGTCTTGCAGAGTTTTATCATCCAGGGAAAGAGTATAATGTTCGTGTAGCTTCGAGGTCTGATTTCTTTATATGCTTTGAGGGATAACGAGGATATCTTATGCCCTCTACATTACATTCAACAGATTATTTGGCATGATTTGAATATGTTTATCACAATTATTTTGGGTAGCACATATTGACAGCAAATTTATTGGTCAATAACACCTCAGTGAAGACAGGGAGATCCAAGTCCGGGCTACTTATAAGACACGCAGGATAAATTCAAGCGACAGTTAATGTGTACATGAATGTAATAGATAATTTAAGGGGTGTTTGGTTAGAGGTATTAAGCAGTAATTAATGGGATTGAAAATAAAAGTAAGTGTTTGGTTTTATATAAAATAAGAACCCATTCCCCCATAAGCCTAAATTTTCATTCCACGTTAAATTGGGGGAATGAGAATTCATTCCCGTTTTCATTTCCATTCTCCTGTCTGAACCAAACAGCCCCTAAGATATTCATGTTTTAGAAAATAGAACATGTGGTCAAAGGATTAGTAGAATTTCATAAAGCCACTGCTTAAAGATACCAAATTGTTATAAAACATCCTGACAGCCATTATTCTAACATGGTGATCTAGAAGGCATAGGAAGGGTATGTATGTATGTATGTATGTATGTATGTATGTGCGTGCGTGCGTAACTGTTTGGTTTTATATAAAATAAGAACCCATTCTCCCAGAAGCCTAAATTTTCATTCCACGTTAAATTGGGGGAATGAGAATTCATGGTGATCTAGAAGGCATGAGAAGGGTATGTATGTGCGTGCGTCCGTCACTCCGCTTTTTGTGTGGCAATCAAATAAATAGACAAAATAACGCAGAGTATTTAATCCTTACCAAATTAATCGGTAAACTTGCTCACAAGACTAAAGGGGCCATTTACCAAACACTCTTCCGGTAAGCGCTTATCGGCAAGAAACCTCACCCTCACTTACCTTATCATGTGATATTTTCAGTCATCAAAATGGATTGTTGGTAAGCGTCTTAAACTTGGTAAGCGCTTACCGGATAAGAGTCGTCGCTCTCACTTACCGAGTAAGACTCTTGATCCTTGTCTTCCCTCTTACCAGGTTAGATTTTCAGTCCTTATCATAGTAAGTGTTCAGTAAACGGCCCCTAAGTTTTAGCGGGATGCTATATTCTACAAACACAAACAGCAAGCCTAGAAGTATCGAGAAAAACCTAACAAAAATTGACAAGCACAGGTGTTGACAACAAAACAAGGTTTAGAGATGAGTGTGTATGAATAAGAGAATCATGGAGAAGATGGGAGAAGTAGAAAAGATCTAGAAGCCCCAATTATTTGGATAGTTCAAGTTTTAAATGTTTCTTTTATTTAAGCTATATATACATAAGATGTCCATAAATGTGAAGAGTTATGCTAAAGTACAACTTTGAAGTAATTTTACCGCCATGAGGATCATGCTACTATGTACCCTACAAATTTCTACTCTTGCCATTTAAAAAACAAACTTTTTCCAGCGAGATGATTTCATATCGACAAGAATCCAAGATCTTTGAATGATCAACCCCCTTGTAGTTAAGAGAAACAATTAGAACTAATGCTTGAAGTGCTTTTAATGGATTATGGTTTAATCTTTTTTTGACTCACGTTTACTTTCTGATTGCAGATATTTCAAAGGTCCAGAACTTCTTGTTGATTTGCAAGATTATGATTACTCTTTAGATTTGTGGAGCCTTGGCTGCATGTTCGCCGGGATGGTGATTACATTTGCTCCAACCTATGATTTATATGACAACCTGCATCTATTATAATCAGCAAACCGTTAGAATTTATTTCTATTTCTCTTCTCTATTAAGCCTCAATGTAGGCATCTAAAATCAAACGATTTTTAGTAGGTAAAAGGGGATCTTTCTGGTCCAAGTTTTTGATCTACCAAAAACATGTACATGGCAACCTGCGACGGTACTAGAGTTTGATCCCTCACATAGTAAAGGGACACAAAAGATCTTTGAAGCTGTGTTAAGGTGCCTTGTAGCTTAAATGCTTATCTCGAAGCGGATTGTTGTCTACAGATATTTCGCAAGGAACCATTCTTTTTTGGGCAAGACAATCATGATCAACTAGTCAAAATTGCTAAGGTACACATTGTTTTCAGCTGTGGTTTGTATTTATGATTGTTTTTACTTGCAATGGTACTTTGATTGGTGATTACTGTAAGGATGAAGAATCGTGTGAGAATAGGAGTTAAGATGAGAAGTATAAGAAGGGATTTGGACCCTTGATCACTTTTAATCCCAAAACAACCTATGAATTGCGCTTTAGAATGGAATTGATCCAGTGTATCTCATTAGTATTGATCTAGTGGTTCTTTTCAATTAGAATTGATCCAAGGGCGGAGATCTCTTCTTACCCTTCTCACCGTAACTTCCATTCTCATCGGAACCCAACCCTACTTTAAGAGTTATAGCTTTGCATCCTTCAAGGAAAAACGGACAAGTATCCACATTTGTTTGAAGTGTGTTTGCATAAACAACTGTTTGGGTCATAGAACACCTTCATTTTACAAAAATGCGAGATCACCCTTTTATCGTAGTCCATCACATGTGATACTAAATCAGAGACACGTCCCACCTTTGGCATAACCTAGGTCGCAAGCGAAGTCACCCACACACCACTAGGTCCTCACGTGTATTATCACATGTGATAAAGGTGTTTTTGCTTTTTTTTAAAATGAAGGTGTTCTCCTTTGAACCTCCACCTATATATATATACATGTATATATAAAGACTTAAAGAGAGTTTTCCATTTATTTAGCGTTTCCCCCTGAACTTAACCCTATACATATATACACATATATGGGTTGAAAATCAAATGAAAATCGTAAAAATGTTAAAAACCATGAAAACTGTTATGAAACAATACATGTAAATTGTGCGGTGTTGTTTCATACATGAAACATATAGGTTTGTTTCACATGTAAATGTGTTTCATATATGAAACACACACACAAGAACAAAACGTGTAAAACACACACAGAAAACCTGTAAAGGACCTTGACTTCTATCTTAAAATGAAACTCATTGAATGGTTGAGATCGGGTTTTCCCCTATATGTGTTTGTCTGTGTGTGACTATGAAATGCGATTTCCTCGATGTTTAATTCCCATATCTTGAAAACCAATGATGCCTCTTGTTTCTTGTTGTCGCCTTTGGAGGGTTCTTGTTTTGGTGTTGGTATGTCATGTGCTTATGGTTATCCTATTGTATACTAACGGTCGTGAGTTATTGCAGTTTTTTTATAAGGATCGAGTTTTATGAAAACTATATCTTTGTTTTCTTCTTTGGGTGGTAGGTATTAGGTACCGATGAGTTAAATACTTATCTACAAAGGTACCTTTTAGAGCTAGACCCACATCTTTCCGCCCTTGTTGGCAGGTTGGTAACATCTTCTCATCTCGTTTGTAAGTTTTTTCGTTTTAATTCTAATAATCTTTTTTTCTGCTATTGGCTCCCAGGCACAACAGGAAACCGTGGACAAAGTTTGTTAACGCTGATAACCAACACTTAGCTGTGGCGGAGGTTAAATATTTATCCATATATGTCTAAATATGCATCTTGAACTATTTGCATTTGGCTTGTAGATTTGGGATCGTGAGACACACCTGTTTTCGTGAGATCTGTGAGACACAGTCGACCCCTTGGATGAGTGTTTTTCTTATCTCGTCCAACCTTCACAGCAGAACACTAGACTTTGGCATGAAAAAAACCGAACCTTTGCATGAAAAACACAGTGAAAAATCACAGGAAAAACATACCAAACCTTCACTGTGTGTCTCAGGGTATCTCGAAAAATGGGTGGTCTACGAGAACCCAACGCTTGGCTTGTTTTGTGGTTGATATGTTTTTCTTCCATAGGCGATCGACTTCCTTGACCAGCTGCTTAAGTATGATCATCAAGAAAGACCAACCGCTAAAGAAGCGATGGTAATTTTCTTAGCTCCTGTACGCATGAAATCTAAAATGGCAAATAGTGCCCGATTTGAGACCTCTTTAAATTCCAAAATGAGAAACCTTTTTTGAGTTTTGACCTCTTCCCGGAAATACCCACACTAATCTTTGTGGGCAAAGGTCAGATCTGCTTACATCCCACAACGGGCCCACCTCCAGGTGGGATATACATGCTCGTTTGGCTTAAGATGTTTGCAACTTGCAAGTGATTGTTGTTGGTACACCAACACCTTTAGACAGAGAGATTTAGGGGTCACTTACCAGCAAAAATTGGGTAAGCGAGTACCTGGCAAAAGTCATCAAGCTCGCTTACCTTACCAGGTAAAATTCTTGGTCATCAAAATAGCATAATATAAGCTTTTTTTACCCGGTAAATGCTAATCAGATAAAAGTCACCGCCCTCACTTACTGGGTATTTACCCAGTAAGATTGTTGGTAAAGACCATCATCTCTGACCGGGTAAGCATCTCTTACATGATACGAGGCAATATACAGCCCCTTGTATTGTGACTGAAACTTTTGTGCTTGGTATATGCAGGCACATCGGTACTTTTCGCCCATAAGAAGCGCAGAGAGCAGCCGAACTCGGGCCTAGTGCAGGTTCATTCTTGGCTGCAACTCATTTTGATTTTCTTCATTATTTGCATCATTGGTTGTAAACATGTATTTTCTGTCATCTGGTACGGATACCCACGGTTAACAAAAAGAAGTAATATTCATCTTATGCAGTATAATCTAATACATTTCTTATTCCCATATCTTGTTTGGTATTTTGAGAATTTAGATTTTCTAATTTTTCAAAATGCAAAATGTAACATCTCAGGCTAATCATACCCATATATTGTTCGCTTTGTCCATATACATGGATTCACGGTTTTAAAACGCGTATGGTGCAGGAGGTATCCAGTTTCTTATAAAACAACCTTTGTTCCCCTCCCCAACCGATGTGGGATCTCACACAAACCAAAAACAAAAAGTTCCATCTTTTAATTGTAAGTGTTCGGGTAAACTTACGTGCACCTTGACTAATAACATGGAGGCCCGAAGTTAACAGCTAGCCAAACCGAACCCCCTTCAGTAGACTTGAAACGGTGTTAACAGGCGTTGAACAGTTGAGATACCCTCATTATTGACGACATTTTCACTAAACTAAATACGACCCCCATTGGAAACGTCATTTTTAGAGCGTTTCACTGCTACATCAAATTCTCAAAACACGCTACGAGTCTCTAATTATGCTAAAAAACCCTCAAAGAAAAGGCCGCATTTCCCCTTTCTTTCGTTACAGAAGGCGGCTTAACATCCTAAACAACAATTTACACACAACATAATCTACGACAAAGATTGCCTCCTGCTCCTCGACGACGACTTTGTTTCCTCGGATGTATCCGAACTTCCGTTGTCGCTATCTTTGTCTTTGCTCGAAAACACCTTCATGAATGTCCTTTTCGACATGATCATCCCTTTTGCTTTATTTGTCTTCATGACATCTTTCTCAAGCTCCCCTTTCAGTGTCTTGAGCTCTTCACTTGTGGGCACCGACCCCCATTCTTCTTCCGTATTTGTTGTTGCGGTTCTTGAGCTCCCATTCGACCCAACCAGTGGCAAAGCCATGGTGGGTTCAGCCGGGACCTCACCATTTGTGCCACTGGTTATGGTGGAGCGTAGCTGCTCGAAGAAGAGGACTTGCACCACCACACGTAGAGGGAGTCGCTCGTTTTGAACCACATGCCGGCAAGCGTCCGGTGACAACTTCCGGCAGTCCATCAACCTGCAAATTCTTTTCTTTTCCCTCTTACTGATCCCCGGATGTTCCTGTTAAAATTCATTACTAAAATCAGTTGTTTGATACACCAAGCCAAATAAAGGTTAGAACTCGGGCCGTTTCTCATGGGTCGCCAATCTAAGTACGCAAACAACACTTGTCCGAGTAGTTTTCATCATTTTATGGTTTAATTTGATATGGGTAGTTTAGTAATTTTAGTAAGGGACAATGAATTTTTGTATTGTCCTGCATACCAAAGTCGCCCTCGGGGCCACCGAAGGATTTTCCTGGTCGTAATCTTCATGGCCCTATGGGATTAGTCAAGGTACGCACAAACTGGCTCGAACACCCACAATTACTATGAAAAAAACCCCGAAAGTTGAAACGAAAATTCAATAAGTTACCTTAAGATACATGTCGATCGCACGATAAATCCCATCGTGGGTTGATCTTGGTAAAGTCGACACCATGTCTGCAAGATCCGCGAACTTTAACAATGGCAGATTTGGATCCTTTGCGATTTCAGCAAGGTAGCCATCGACAATCTTGGCCACGCTGACTTTTGCAGCCGAGTCAACATGTTTCACCTCTGAGAACTCATTCTCGCTACTCTCATCCCGCATCATGAATATAGCGACCAATTCTTGAACCAAGTCAACATCAAGAATCGTGATTTCAGCAACCGCTGCATTCTGCAGCTGCTGCCCAATCCTTCTCATCAAATCGTTCTTTCGGGTTTCTGCACAGTTGAGAAGAACACATGCGTGCAACAAATGAACTAAAAACCCGCAAGAAACGCTGGTTTTTTCATCCGGGAGGAGCCCGATAATCATTTCGATCAAAGAACGAGTTTTCGCATCATCCCTGCCAACGTTACCGTCTTTTTTCCCGAACCACGACAACCGTTTCTGCAAGTATGCTCTTAGAGATTCGCCAAGAACATCGGAACTCGCTTTCCCTTTGGTCTTGATCGTGATCATAACTCGTTTATACAAGTCGCTCGAAAGATCGCACAGATCTTCCACCCACCAATCTTTCGGAACCATTAGTTGTTTCTTCACACCATCGTAACACGATGATTCATTCTTTCGATTATAAGTATACGACCACTCGACTTTAGAGGCTTCGACAGAAACTTTCGAAGCTATGGAGTCTAAACAATGGCTAACCACCTTAAGTTCCTCGGACCATGGAAGAAGAGATTTGGTCGTTTGGAAAACGATGATCGAATCTTTCCAAGTTCGAAAAATGCTCGAATTCAAAAACACTTCGATCTTGTAAATGAGATTGCCTTTATCAACGGTTTCGTACATTTCTAGATACTCTGCTGCACATCGAGCCAAAACCACGTTGTACGCGTTGAGGGTGACCGTCATTCCATAACAAAACTTGGCGCAGATCTCGAACGCAGCAGGGCCACCTGGGATGTCATGGATTTCGAGTTCTTCATTGTTTCCGGTATCTGAAACTGCAACCATTTTCTGCAAACGGGCACTCTTGGATAACAGCGGAAACTACAAACAACAGTAACCAACATTTTATTCGACCGTTCAAGAAAGTCGACATAATTTATTAGCGTAATACGAAACTATTGCACCTTGTGTAGATAAAACTTGATGTCTCCAACACTTACGATCATGTCGCTAGCCAGATCGGTCGCCACGTATCTGAACATGAACAAAATCGTTCAGATCAAAACGTAAGAGCTTAAAGATGCATATTAGGCTATGTTCGACATAAAGCTAACTAGGGTTTGTTAGCAGCTTAATGAGCTTAAAGAGACTCACGGCTTATTCGGTGAGCTTTACATGATTATTTGGTAGTGGCTTAATAATATAAAGAGTGACTTATTCAGTAAGTTTCTAGGGGGGTTTATGCAGAAAGTCACGGTTTTTTAAACCTGTCCCTCACGATTAAAGAACGTGCCCTTTCCATTTATGAAAAATCCCTCTCAAACAAAAACCTTCACAACCTATACAGACAGATTAATTTACACACACAGCTTCATATTTTCAACACTTAATGTAATACCAACCATACAGCTCATAAACTAATCATGTTTGGTAAAAACTAACTGATAAACTAGATCACAATGTAAAATGATCTAAACGAAGATAAAAAGTGAAAACGTTTTTTTCAATAAGCTCAAAAAATAATACTTTAATAGATTCAAGAACTGATTGCACCCATGCATCTTCTTCACAAAATATATTATGAAATCAGGAATCATAAGTAAAAAGATTGCATTTTGAGTGAGAAAGAGAGATCAAGAGCTAGCATTTGAAGATGGGTTTGAAGATATCCAAAAGATAATATGCTACAGACCTTCATACTCTTCAAGATCAGTATAAGTTCACAAGAATTTAACAACATACTGACCGATTATCTTCGGCATTCGACTGAAACAAATCCGGCTTTGATCCAAGTTTCATGAACTTCATCTTCAACACCCCAAAACTGTTATCACCTCCAAGATTCAACCAAATTAACTAACTCGAATCGAGAATCGCCACCAGTTGAATGGTTTAAATCTAGTGAGTTTTGCACAGAAGAAAATAGGAAAATTAAACCCCAGAAATGAGCACTTAATTTCTAATTGAAAGTTTACACAAATAGAGGGTGTTTCAAGATTTCTTGAAAATGAATAAAATGAGTTTTTAAGGTTTTTAAGAGATTTTTGCTACCTTGGATGCTGCTGCTATCATAAACCCGAAAAATGGTGAAAAGAATGGGGTAAGCAAGGAGACACTGCTACAAATGACACATACTTTCACAGACTCTTTTAACTAGAAATTATCAATATTTAGACACCAGAGGCAGAGGCACCACCACTTGCTACCACTGACATCCACCACCTCTTGCCTTATATATTTCTTTATATCTTTCTCTCACCTCAAAACCCCCCAAATTTCAATATTCAAACCCTAGAAAATCCACATTCCTCCATAAAATCTTTCTGTTACCAATGGGAATTTGGGGGACCTGCCACACAGCCAACATGATCTTGATATGAGTTAAAATAGACCACCAAATTAGTAGACAACAAACAAACATCAACTTGCTTTGGTACTTTAAAACAAAAATCACATACCAGTCTTGCACTAAAACCAACAAATTTACTTCAAGAAATTGCAGGATGGAATACAATAAAGTAGAAGACAAACCTCAGTTTATCATGAAACCCCACTTGAAAACTTCAATATACAATCGAAACAAACAACCCCAATCTCAAGACTTAATCAATTCGTATGAAGAATCAATCAGAGTTGGAGCAGATAAAACTGCAAAGGTCAAATCAAACAGTTGAAGGGTCTCAAAGGCATAAGAAAACCAAAGAGACAAACACTCAAACAGTTGGTGTGCAATCTTTTTAGGATACGAAGAAAGCTAAAGAGAACACCAAACCCCACACCCCACTTAATTGTCGTGATCTTTTTACAATAGTTGAGACCAATGTGAAGGCACAAAATTAAGGGTTTGGAGTTTCTGATCAATAAAAGATGATAGAAAAAAGAAAAAGAAAAAGGGGGAAAAACGAGATCGCACAAAATTGGGGGAAAATTTAGAAAAAAAATAAAGATAAACACAATAGCAACCAACCATGAAAAAGATGAGTTGTCGTTAATCTTTGCCAGCCACTAAAGCAACAGTGTGTTATCGCAAAAAGCCAAAGCTGGATCAGAATGTTCGCACTTCCCACAGTAAAATTTCTTGGCGTTTAGTTGTTATTTATCCCTTTAGAATCAGCACCACCACCGCCCCCACCACCGCCCTCCTCCGCCTTTTTCTTATATATATTTTTTCTCCGGCCCCTATCAGTTTGATGGGGCGTACTTGATTCCATTTCCAACAGAAATTATCAAACTTTATTTTGGACAGACAAAAATCGTTGGCTTTTCAGACCATCATAACTAAAGCTACACATATAAATTCGATAAGTCCATCGACTCGTCTAATCCAACCCGAAAGTAAACCGATATATAACTCAATTGACCAACCTGAAAAGCTGATTCAATTCGTAAAATGTACACAATAATTGTTTGAACGAATATAACTTACGTTACTTATGTCATTTTTGTATTATTTTCGTTACACACGGACACGTACACGTATATGAAGATGAGTTCGATTCTGGTGAGAATAAGAGTTATGGTGAGAAGTTGAGAACAAAACATTCGTATAGTTTTATTTACAGTTGAACAAAATTAAGTTAGTTAAAAAAGTCAACTCATCCAAATGCTCATAAATGTTTTTACATTCTCACTATAACCGTTATTTTTACACAAACCCTCGCCTAGGGCAAAGCGGGTGGTCGCCCTGGAAATAGTCTGCTCACACAGCGGGTGGTCATCCTGGGATTAGTCGGCTCGCATAGTGGGTTGGATATTCAGGTTAATAAAAAAAAATAGTTTGTAACTGTAAAATTGAGAATGTTTTTATAGTTTAAAAAACAGGTTTAAGAAATAATAACATGACATATATAATCTTTGTCGGTTTATATAATTTATACTATACAATTTAATTATGATCATGAAGCCTTTAGCGTGTAGTTCAGTTGGCAAAGAGACAGAACGACTTTGTCCAAATATAAAACAGGTTCCGGATTCAGCTAGTTTCAACCGTTATACGAGTCAACAAGTGTCCTGTTATGTCGGTGTTATTAGAGCTGGATTTTATGTAAAATCGGTTGAAGTTGTCGGTAATCAACTTTTTGCCTAAATATAATCATAAAAATAGAAATATAATATTAATAATTTAATATAAAAAATAGTAGATATGAATAAAAGGAGTATGCGTTGGGCCCCGTAACAGTAAAGTGAAATGAGTCTTCAATCCTTGTGATGACCACAATGCGGCCCCTTTCTTTGTCTTGGAATCTTTTAATTGTTACATATAAATTGGAGAAATTATTAAGGGGTTGTTTATCCAATTGCTTACCTGGTAAGCGTTTACCGATAGGAGTCGATACTATGATTTATTTTGATGTGTAAGATTTTAGTATATCAAAACATATCGAATGCAACAATTTACTGGGTAAGAGTTATCATCCTTACTTACCGAGTAAGACTCTTCATCCTTCTTATCGCTCTTACCCGGTAAGATTCTTGGCACTTCTCATGTCCATCCGATGAAGAAATTTATCTGGTAAGCACTTACCAAAGTAAGTGTTTAGTAAACGGCCCATAAGTCAATTTTTAAACTAGTCATTTTTTTTATATAAATATGACCCGTTAAGCATCTATGGCTGAATGGTTAAAGCACCGAACTTATAATTGACGAATTCGTGCGTTCAATTCCTACTGGATGCACGTCAATAAGACCCTCCAATAAGTCTATTGGAATTAGCTCTGTACATATTTTTATGCAATTTGTTTATGAACCACTCTAATGTCGTTATTCAAAATCTCGCCATCCATGGATTAATTGAATGAGATGGTTGTTTATATTTGACGCGTAATATTATTCTCGTCATATACCAGTTTCATACATAAACTGGCATTCAAAATCTCGTAAATCCTATTGAATTGGCAGAGCGAATGAATAATTATGCATTTAAATTCTTGTAAACGACAAATACTTTACTTTTATGATTCCTTACCGCATACGTTCTTAAGATAACTTGTGTTTTTTTTAAATATTTTCGTCATTTTAATGAAATGTGTTATGTTTGACGGCAATAAAATCTAGCAAACTGGAATTAACGCGATTATATTAATTGACTACATTTTACGTCCTCTTTTAGTATTTCGTATTACAGTGTGCAAATCGTCTGGGTTTTTTATGCCTCTTCGGCTTCGAGACTATATGATATTGTAAACGTTTTCATAAGCCTTTGACCAGAGAGAGACCATCAAATAGCCGAAATCAAGACTGATGTTACTTCAGGTTTAGCTGCAATTACCTTTCGTGGTGGGTCCGTTTCTTTATGATAATGAAATCATTCAGTCGAAAACAGTCAGTTAATGAAACAGATCTATACAACAGGCGAAAAGGAGTTCTAGTTCATGATCTGAACGAGGGAAACATATACCATAATACAAGCCCACTTAGATAAATGCAGCTTTTTCTCCTGATGTTGTCGGAATTATCTGTAATAAGATATTGACTACAACTTATACTCAAAACGAATACTATGCCCCCATCAAAGATTACATTTTGCTTTTTATTTTATTTTTATTATTATTAATTTACTTATTAAGTTTAATAAATGCAAATTGTAATTATTTTTTTTAATATTATACATATATTTTTATAAAAATAGCTTATTGAAGGTGGAGCATGTATGGGTGTCACGTGCTCCACTCGTGGATTCTCCCTCCGAAATTAGGACCAAATAACGTTTAAATTATTTTTTATTTGTTTTTAGAGTAAATCACGTTCTTAGTCCCTGTGGTTTGTTGTAAATTTCTGTTTTCATCCTTGTGTTTCTAAAATTATGGTTTTAGTCCCTCTTGTTTTTAATTTGTTGCTTTTTCGTCCATGTAGTTTACAATTTATCTATACTATATTATAAAGCATTTGATAAAAACTCTTAAAAACTATTTTTTATTCATGAATTACTGTCTATTTAGAAATAATAATAATAAATTTATAGTCATATATATATATATATATATATATATATATATATATATATATACACACACACACATACACACTGAATAGGGGGTAAGAACCACTTACAGACATAATGACCAATAAAAGACATGACAACAACCGAGGTTCTTATCTGACAAGTGGGAAAGAAAACTCTTACTCGACTAATGCTTAGGGGGTAAGAGACGCTTACAAACATAATGACCTATAATGTTAATTCAAAAAGTAAGTGAGGATGTTGACTTTTAACAGTAAACACTTACTTGATAACCATTTGAAAAAATGCATCTAACTGTAAAATACATACATACACTTTTAACTTTTGATTTAACATTTTTACAAATTTATCTAATCACATCACTCACAGTTTCATAGATTCACATACGTCACAAACTCAGTTGAAACAAAGTTGTAGAACCATCCGGAATTATATTTTTAGTATTTAATCACAGGCTACTTATACAATATATATATATATATATATATGTGTGTGTGTGTGTGTATTAATTTTCTTATAATAAATAATATATACATAGACTTAAATGCTCAATTATTTGAGAACCACATATATTATGATAACTGTCAAAACTATTATCATAAGGTATTGTTTCATATGATTTTTTTTCCATATAAGGCTAGAAATTAATATACTGATTAACATAAATTTGTTTCTCAATGTGTTTATTTCATATGTATCTAGTTCACAATATAAAACTTTTCAGTTATATCTTTTGTTCCACAAACACATAAAAAATATTCACATTGTGAAACAAATATACATTAATCATTACACTAAATCCAAACCATAGGTGAAAAAAAAGTCATGTGAAATAACACATGATGCACTGGTTATTAAAGTTATCACAATTTTACGAGTTCTCAAACGAAGGCCCTATATTTAACATATATACAAATACATCGTCTTATATCATACCTTAAAAAATATCGCGTCTCATGCCACACCTCACGCAGTTAAAACCTTGTTTCGTAAGTTCTTTGTGCTCAAGCATAAATCTTCAACGACTTTTACGATATCTTCGTATTTTTCGTACTGTCATTAAAATAAGTACTCTGTAAAATAATTAACGGTGTAAGAGTACACTTGAACTCAACAGACAACAAATAAAAAAAGCTGCAACAAAATTATTATGTTTTGACATTGGTCATATGTCATGGGGTCGTTGTTTGTGACTAAATGATGATTTCATGGTAGACTTTCTGATCGATGTCTTGTTGGATGTTCGGTAGACATTATATCAGATCAACTTTTGTAGTTAAAAAAAAATAGGAAATTATAATGTATTTTACACTGTATTTAATCATTTAAAATACTCGATCTGATGACATATTTTCTTGCTAAAAATGAAAGAGAATATATTTCTTTTCCTATATTTCGAACAGATAAATATAATCCAAAAAAAATGAATAGCCATTTTTACTTTTCGGCCTTTCTCTTGTGTTTGATTGAATGATTCTATTCATGAATCGTGTGAAAAAGAGAGTTAAAGTGATAAGCGTAAGATGAGATTTGGACTATTGATTACTTTTAAACTTAAACTCACCCATGAATCGGGGATTGATCTGGTGCATCTCATCCTAATGTGCATTCAAGGGTGGAGGTCTTTTTCTTACGATTCTCACTGAAACTCAACCCTAATTGAATGTCAACTCTAATGAGAAGAACCGAAATATACCCGATCAATTCCCTTCTAAAATACAATTCATGGTTGGGCATAAGATTAAAAATAATCAAGGTTCAGACTTCTTCTTACGCTTCTCACCATAACTTCTTTTTTCATATGATCCTTCATGTATATATATATATATATANTGTGATACCTAATCATATATAAGATGCATAGTGATACCACTGTGTTACATCTTCGATCGATCACACAAACAACATCAATGTGATACTCAATCACATATATGATGCATTGTGATACCATTGTAGTATCACCGGAGGACGGTGGCCGGCGGAAGGTGGCCGGAGAGAGAAAAGAGGAGGGTGGAAAGTTGTAAAATAACAAAAATATCTTTGCATTAAAATTTTAATTCAAAATTGCCAAAATTATAAATTTTCTAATTTATCTATTGATTTGTGGTTAATATTGGTTCTGACAGTTACCACAAACTAATTATTTCTCATTTGATTAGGCCCATATATATATATATGTATATATTGATAAAAACTCTTATAAACAATTTTTTACGCATGAAGTACTGTATGTTGATGTATATTACTTAAAATTTCAAGATTACAAGTAAATTATCATGAAGTACTGTATGTTGATGCATATTACTTAAAATTCAAGATTACAAGTAAATTATGCATAAGTACAACTTATTAAAGCTCCATGTTTGAATTTGTGTAACTAATTGCGGATAAACATAATCAAATAGAAGATAAACACTCATTTTATAATATCAAAAATCTAAAATATAATTAGGATAATTATCGAGTTCTAACAAAATAATATTTATAAGAAAGTTATATTATTAAACCAAATATAAATTACTTCATTATTGAACATAAATTAAATTATAATAAAAACCCTTCTAGTATGTATGTATGTGTGTGTGTATATATATATATATATATATATATATATAGAAAGAGAGAGAGAGAGAGAGAGAGAGAGTTAGGTTCACGTAAGACTAAAAGTTTTTTCTTGAGACCCGTAAGACCAATTTATGTTTATTGATCAACTTTATAATCTAATGATCTAATGGTCTAAAGTTGTAAGGTGATAAATTTGTGATTATTAAGAAAGTCTCGTGGCAATTTTGTGATTATGAATGTTCAGATTGTATATCTAATTCAAGGGTTAAGAATTGGTCTTACGGGTCTCACGAAAAAACTTTGGTCTCACATGATCCCAAGTCTCTCTCCTTTCTCTCTCTCTCTATCTCTCTCTCTCTCTCTCTCTCTATATATATATATATATATATATATATATATGTGTGTGGGCCTATTCAAGGGAG